TTTTGTCGTAAAAAAAAACGTGAAATAAACATGCAGCTGCAGCGGGTCATTTAGTTCTTCAAATGTTACCTTTAAGTTAATTTTATAGTTTTGTGATATTAATAATGCTAATATATTGATATTTTTCTAGTTTTGATTTAAGTTTGCTTGTTTAGCGTCGTCACAGTTGCTAGGAGACATGACGTACGCCGGGGTAAGGAGGGGAGGCTAGACTGTCCAAATTCACAGCCTCTTTTTTTCCGGTCTTCACGGTCTACCAAGGACCCGGCCCACCTGGATCGGGTAGTCTGGGTCCTCCGGAGGACCCGGCCTGTCGTTTTGGACACAGCCAATGAGTAGCGCTGAGCTAATACATATACTGTATATAGTAATAGCATCGGGGCTAATGCTAAAGCTAACAGGCTAAGCTGGGGTTCTTCTTCCATGAAGCAGCTCTGTTGTCCTCCATCCATATTTTCAGTTGCAGGTTGAGTCATTTATACCTTCCTCTCTCTGTCAACGCTCTCTGGTTTCATTTAAAAGAATCRATGGTCAGATATTGTCCAAGATTAAMCTTCAGGGTGGATAWAGCTCGCTAGCAGCCTCGCACTGATGACCTATCCACGTCATCATTTACCCAGAATGCTTTGTGTGTAAATAAAATGGCTTTGAACGTGTAATATATTTTTAAACTTTTAGTTTAAAAATGGTAACAGCCTACGTTATTTTAACAGTCTTTATTTTACAGTTAAAATATGTTTATCAAATAAAGTCAAATGTTACAACTAATTGGGGATCCCTTTAAGTGTTTGTGCCGTTCAGACCCACCTTGGAGAGGCAGACGCTGACCGTGTGCGTGTGCTGCAGGATGGCGGACACAGGCACGCCCTGGGCCACGGCGGCGTTCATCACCCGAGCTCCATCCATGTGAACCGACAGACCGTGCTGATCTGCTAAAGCGCGAACCTTAGAGGTGGAAACATAACATCCGCATGTGGTGAAAACTCTGCGAGAGGCTGCGAACAAGAGCAGGCATCCCTGCAGCAAAGTAAGGCTTTCTAGAGCACATGATCCTAGAATAAAACAAACATACATCCTGCAGGAAGTGCAGAGGCAACACACGTCCTCCCTGGATGTTGTGCGTGTTCTCCACACAGATGAGGCGCGAACGGGGGTAATGAGGGTCCGGGTATCCGTGGCGGATCTTGGACTCCAGCTGTTTTAAATCAAACGTACCATCGAGGCGCGTGGCGACCGTGGCGGCGTGGACCCCTGCCAGCTGTGTCGGCACACAAAACGCACACTGAGTCCCTCCCGAGGCACGRAACKMTCACGGGAAAAGGTGGCCGCTCCAGCTCCAGCACACCCACCTGAGCGCTGCCTCCTTGCTCGTAGATGTGCAGGTGGGACAGGTCGCCCACGATCATCTCGTCTCCGCGCTCCCTGCAGTGCACCATCACTGCCAACAGAAACTGCTTTTATAACCACGAGGGGACGGCGATGCGTTCGATTCAAAGCACAGACTCGTTTACCTGCGATGAGATTACTCATGGTTCCAGAGGGAACGAACAGAGCAGCTTCCATCCCAAACATTTCAGCTGCAGTCTTCTGCAAGTCTGCGGAAATCAGTTGCAACAAAGTGCTGAAATTAATCATTTCTTAATGTTTAACAAGGGTCAAAATACAAAAGGTGTCTGTTTAAAAGAAGGAAAAGTTAAACTTAAAGCTCCTATTATTACTCAGTCAGCTAAAGCAAACTTGTCATGTGCTTGGATGCAAGACAAAAAATCTCCCCAATACTTCTGTCAGTGAAATGGTATTTGTGAAAAACAGCAAAAGCTGTCTTTTATTATGTATGTATTTATATATATATATACAGTATATATATGTATGTATGAGTGGTGCAAAAATACATGTACCCGTATTGAACAGAGCTTTAGGTTCAATACACACTTTTATCGAACAATACAGATTTTTCAAATTTACTTTATCAACTTGTCTTCTGAAGGTGCTCTGTGTTCGACTACTCCACCTAGGCTACCTTTTTGAGCGCAGATCCACTGAGAAGCTTGCTGTTTCAGCAACATTTACTTTAAAAACTGTACTTTTGAGGTTAAACAAATGTTCATAATTTAAATGAATTACAAGTTAAAATGGGCATGGAAATTTTTCTTTTTTGTATCGAAAAAAATATCAAACCATGAGACTAAAGTATCGAACTGAACCGAATCAAATTGTGAATTTTCTGTATCGCTCTGTGTTGTTCAGAACAAACAAATACAATGTTTCAGCTCATTTTAATATTTMTTTTAAAATTTAGTTTATATGTTTTTGTCGTCAGAGGCCATTTGGAGATTATCCAAGGGCCACTTCTGGCCCTCGGGCCGCATGTTGACCATTTGTGACCTAAAAGGTTTTCAATCAGAAGTTAAAAAAAATTATGGTGATATTAAAAGTAAACATAATGACCTTTTTTGTACAAAAATATGCACTTTTTAACATCTGGAACTGTTTTTCATTTTWAAAACATTGGATAAAGTGTGGAAACACTGAGGCTTGGTTCGGTTCTCACTGTTCACCGTCGGGTCCTCCCCCATCACGTCATCCCCGACTTCGGCCTCCGCCATCGCCTGTCGCATCCCCGGCCCGGGCTTCGTCACCGTGTCGCTGCGGAGGTCYACCACCCGGAGGTGCGGCGCCCCGCCCGGGCTGGGATACCTGGGTTTCCCAACGTTGTAGTATCCCCGAGCGGAGCCCCGACCCAGCGGCACCGCGGCGGCCGCTTCATGTCGCTCACAAAGCGGCCTTTTGGAGGCGATGCCACTGGGGTTGAGTGAAAAACGGAAAAGTAGCCGTGAAAAAGTCTTTAGCGACATCTTTTAATCATCTTCCTCGCAGGTGTCATGGCAGGTATTTGTGTTGAACTTTGGATCAGTGGGATCGATAATCATTGACTGACTGTAAGGAAAAACAATGGATTACCGATCTGTTCAAATCAACGTGCAATGAGCGGTGGTGACCACTAGAGGGCGCAAACATCCAAACAACTAATTTATTGACAAAGTGCGAAATTATACTACCCATTTTTGTAGATAAATACAACAAAAAAATGTAATCATTTTTTAAAAAATTAGCAAGATTTTATAAAGAAATTAATAATTTTTAATACTAAACGTTTAAACATGTTCAGTTTTTCTACAAAAAATACCTTATATAC